CCACACCCCCACGCACCCACCCACACACACACACATGCACGCATGCACACACTCACACATGCACGCACGCACGCACGCATGGGCGTGCCAAGGTAAAAGATGAGGTTCTACTTTTGAAACAGAACCTTTCAAATTGAAGTTGTAGAACAGTTTTTAAAAAAAGCTTTATTGAGCCAAGTGTATTTTGTGTGATTTCTGCTGTTTTCCCTTCTTATGTGTCTCAGGACACTTCAGAAACTTTTAGTCCTGAGAGATTTAAGTATTTTTTAAATCAAGGTTTAAACCTAGAACCCAGCCGCATGAAGGAGTGAAAGAGCTTAAAGTGTTCCATTAACCAGCTAACAGATGCCACCAAGCACCAAGAAATGCCATGACATTTCTACCTAAGGGAAAAACAAAATTCTGAGCTGTATTAAAGCAAAAGTAACAATGGAAGCAAGGATTTCTATGCATGAATTAGAAAAAGGTGATGATGATTAGAAGTGTAGATGTATAAAAATATACACTGACATGTTCAAATCCTTATGTATGGTTTAATCTCATATGAACTTATAATTCATACCAACAAGAATTACTCTAATGATAGTGGAGGTTGATTGTAATCCATGAGTGTGAGTCACAGGACACAAGTGAATGAGTTATGCTCAAATATGCCAACCCCCTTTGCAAATACATGGTTGGCCTGCTTTTCCTTCATGCATATATGCTGCTGCGTAGAGATGTTGCTTCCTTTATAACTTATCAATTTAGCAGTGCTGCTTAGTATGTGGCTTCAGGTGTCGTGCTCTCTGCCTACAATTTAGATGGTCCTATGGTTCACCATGCTGGCTCATGAAGAAGGCTTCAGGAAAGATTGGAGAGTAATGGGCTTTTCTCACAGGTCCCTTCACTCAGTTGTGTGTTGTAGAGGAAGGATCTGATTCTTGGGATGTCTCACCAAATGCTCAGCTGGCCAAATTTGGACAGTAAAACTGACAAAAGAGCAGATTAAAAAAAACAACTTTGTGTTAGAATGAATTCCTCATGATTTGTTCAAAAGTGGAATAGACTGCCTTAATAGTGAGCTCTCTCCCAGTAAAAGTAGCCACTGGATGACCATCTGTTCAAATACTGTAAAAAGAATTGTTGTGCTGGCTACGTGTTTGGTATAAGATTCCTTCAGGTTTAAGTTCAGAATTTACAAACTATGCCAGTTCTGGTTGGCGTTATCTAAAAATGATAGTTAAGACTATAGAGAGGGACTTAAGAATCCTCAAGCCATTCTGGGATTAGCCTTTAACAACAACTACTATGAAAATATATTCCAAAGACACCATGCTCAAAAATGGTTTGACAAATTTTGAATACCATGACTGCCAATTATATACTGTATTATGAGTGTGCTATCTAGTTTTTTATTGGCTGATCTGCACAGATTTTTAATCTGTGCTTTAAAACATGTATGGTAAAAATTGTGACCCGCTGTAGAGAGGGACCGTTAGATAAGCCCCCCCAAAGAGATTTAGGACTGAGATGGGGTGGGAGCATTTACAGGAATACAGCCTAGAATTCTCCATTGTAGCCACACATGGAATCAGCCTTACCTGTGGGACCTTATGTGCTTTAAGAACTCTGGTACTTTTTGGCCACATAGACAAGAGAAGGACAGTATTTCAACCCAGACATATTTAGTATTTCTAATTATGGCATAGTCCTGACCCCATTGTCCAATTAATTTAGATGTCAGAAGTCAAAGCCAGAACCGAGACCTCACAGCTCTTAAATATTGGTTCCTATCATGCCTATGCCTATAGCCAGCCACACTGGTTTCAATGTTCTGCAGTCATTTTGCTACAATCATGTTAGGATGAAACTCTGTATGTCAGAGCTAATAAGTAGTAATTGTTTTTAAGTGCATGAGACCTGGGGCCTTCTCTTTCTACTCGCACTCTGCTGATAATAGTTTCTATTTGTAGATCTCAGGCCTTCATAAAGATTTCCATCATCAGATCACAAAACTATTTGTCTCTGTAGAGTGGCATGTGGTCATTTGAGTAAAAATAAAAGTACATGGGTATTCACTTCACAGGTACCCTGTCCATCCAGACACGTGTTAATTTAAGTGGCAGGTAAACTGAAGCCCCTTTCTTCTTAGCCATACACTTTTTTTTCTATCAAATTACTTCACAGTATCAAGCACTTAACAGTAAATGACAAAACAGTGTCATTTTTGTGAGTAACACTCAGTGGGTGCTGACATATAGTTTGAGTAAGATTAAAAACACCAAAAGCTGTTATCTGTGGTACCAGGAAGTGTGCATATGCATATTGACATTGACTCTGTATTTAGAATGTGCAGTGAAATATTTTCAATAGGTGTTTTTAATGAACACTAGATTTTTGGAATCATATATTTCTAATTAGAAGCATACTGTTTCTCAATAGTCCATTAAAACATCATACAAAGTATTTATTTAGTTTATTGTCACATACTGGCTTTCAGGAAGCCTTGGGCTCCATATGTCTTCAGTGGATCCATGAATTTCAAGTGTATTTGTACCTGCCTCAGCTAACTCTACTTTATCCTGATGTTTTCCACAGTCCTCTTGCTGCAGGTGCTGCTAATCATCTCAAAATGTGTAAGATATTTTGTTCCAGTTGTTTAAAAAATCATGTGTCAAAGTGAATAAAAAGTGCATTTTGAACAACCAGCATACAATGTTTGTGGGGTGTTATTTCTCTATCTTTCTTTTTTTTTGAGCAGTTGGTCAGTATGGCAGGTATATCTGTCAGTAAATCCTATTATTTTTATATGATACTCCAAGTGACTCTCCCTATTTAACATGCAGTAGTGATTTAGAAACAAACACTGAAGATTGAGGGTAGAGATTCCTTTTATTTTATTTTGGACCTTTATGGAGAGTCTTGGGACCAGAATATGGACCTTAATCTTCTAGTTTATTTCTAATCACAATTTTAAGATCTGAGCAAATTGGGAACATGGGATGAGGGGAGATGGAGTTAGGAGAAAGAGAAGGGGAGAAGAGGAAGGGGGAGGGGGACATGGGACAGCAGGAAGATCAAGCCGGGAAGAATAGAGGAGAGCAAGAAAAGAGATACCATAATAGAGGGAGCCATTATAGGTTTAAAGAGAAATCTGGCACTAGGGAAATGTCCAGAGACCTACAAGGATGACCCCAACTAACAATCTAAGCAACAGTCGATAAGCTACCTTAAATGTCCTTCCCCGATAATGAGATTGATGTCTACCTTAAATGCCATCCTAGAGCCTTCATCCAGTAGCTGATGCAAGCAGATACAGACACCCACAGCTAAACACTGAGCCTTACTCCTGGAATCCAGTTGCAGAGAGGGAGGAGTGATGAGCAAAGGGGTCAAGATCAGGCTGAAGAAACCCACAGAAACAGCTGACCTGAACAAGGGGGAAGTCATGGACCCCAGGCTGATAGCTGGGAAACCAGCATAGGACAGACCCAGACCCCCGGTCGTGTGTGCTAGTTAGCAGTTCTGGGCAATTTATGGAGCCTGTAGTAGTGGATCAGTATTTATCCCTAGTATACAAATGGACTTTGGGAGCCCATTCCACATAGAGGGATACTCTCTCAGCTTAGACACACTGCTCCAAATGATGTTGACAGACTTTGAAGATTCCTCCATGGAAGGCCTCACCCTCCCTGGGGAGCAGAAAGGAGGTGGAATAGGGAGTTGGTGGGGGGCATGGGAGGAGGGGAGGGAGAGGGAACTGGAATTGGCATGTAAAACAAGCTTGTATCTGATTTAAATAAAATGAGAGAGGAGAAAAAAAGAGTACTGAATGAGAAATGCAAACTATTACAAAATATAAATAGAATATCCACATTGTGTTTATTTTCTTGACTGATAAATTGCCTAGACATTAGAAAAATATGAAAATGTAGACAAAACAGGTCAGAACACGAAAGATAGTTTTTATACAAAAGTGTTCTATTCTCTTGACCACCACACTTTGGGCCATTAATGTTACAGTAAGCATCAAATGGCTTGAACACATATGATAGTGAACTTTTAAAAATTACCTTTATTTATTTATGTGTGTGTGCATGTGCACCATGGTAGGTGTGAAGAGATCAGGTGACAACTTTCTAAATCAGATCATCAGGCTTGGTGGCAAGTGCCTTTACCATCTGAGCCATATTGCTGGTCCAGCAACATTTAAATTATGAATGCAAGCCTCTTCACCATACGTGATTCATCACATTGACTCCATCTGCTACAGATTTAGAAGTCTCATCAATTCTACATACTTTTGGTTATTAGACCTTTGTGGAGTCAAAAATATTCATTTTTCTTGTTCCAAAATTATTACATCATACTTAAAGTATAATAAACCAAATTCTACAATGATACCACTTTGAGACTACAGAAAGCCATAAATTTCTAATCACCTTAATAAGAATGTTTGCACAGCCAAACTACTTGCAACATGTTTGAGGCCTTGGGTTTGATCCCTTGAACAAAAAGAGGGGAGGGGAATGGAGCTTATCTTCTAGAACTGATATTTTTAAAGCAGAAAATTAGATTTCTGTCTGATTTGTTTCTGCCCCAATCATTGCTTACAGGTAAATCTCCCCTTGATGTCTTAAGACATAATATGAAGTCTCATTTTGGGACACTAGAAGAGACTTTTCCAGAAAAAAATGGAGGGTATACAGATATGACTTCCGTTCTATCCTAAAATTGAATGTTAAAAACACTTTGGGAAATTGGGGTATCTGTTTGAAAAATTTTATGATGGGAATTAAGATTGGCATATCTGTTTAATTTTAATTACTTAAAGCAATCCCGCAACAATATTTTTTTCAGAGTCAGTGATCTATATAGTCGTCGCGTGTCTTTCCTTGGTATGGAGAGACAGGATTTGTCACAGAGAGTGATTTTTTCTTATACTTGATTTCAAGGAAGATAAACTGTGATGCACTGCCATAATCTAGA